AACATCGACTGAATTTTAACTTTTGACTTTAAGAATTATTTAGAGAGAAAGGAAAAATTGCCTTTTGGTTACTTCAACCTGGAGGAGACTTATGGACTGATCATAAGGTGTTTGGACATTTTGGATTACAAACATCAGTTGATATATAATTTTTGGATTCTTGGATGGAAGAGCTGTTACAAAACATTGCTTTTGTTGGTGGACCTATATTTTGGAACTTATTGGACTATAAAGGCTACATAAAAGACAATAAGAACTATATGAGATGATTTTAAATTTAAATTTAATTAGTATATTGTTGTATTGACTATAAGATTGATCGTGTTAGATAAGGCTAGCACTTGAGGAATATAATAGATTTGACAGAATCAATAATAATAATAATAATAATGACGTGGTTGTGGGGCTTGTGTACTCTGAGGAAGATGAGAGCTATGCCAGAGGTTCAACCATACTGGACAGGTCTCATCAGAGGAGTCAGACAAAGAGTGTCTCTCCCATAAAAAATATGGTGAGACGTAAATTGCAGAATGTCATACCGGCTCGGACGTAGCCCGGGTTAACAAGGTCCGCACTAGATATTGGAGTTCCTGGATATCTGGTGAAAAATGGGTTACAGGACTCAGGACTGTTGGCTGAGCAACCAGGGCCAGCAGCTGCAGAACTACTGGAAGAAAAGGATGTTTACCCGTTGCAGATACACAGTGATTGAAAACAAAGAAATAATGATCTGTTACTACAGATCAAGTCCAACAAGAAGAGGATATCTAAAACGAATGCACCAGTTCTGGAAAGAACAACATCCAGAATCAGAAATAACAGAACAGAGACTAGCAGATCAACGCCGATTTATAACACGAAATAAAGTATTCACAGAAACAGAATTGGACGAACTGCAAAGGTTTACCCAGGGCAAAGAAATCAAAGCTTACCAGAAGTAATTCAGAATGTAGAGGCAAACCAGGGGGAGTTGGCAGTGAAGGAATCCAGCAGAGATATACAACTGTTCTCATTTGGAAACCAGGCACCTCTTCCTCAGGAAGAACAAAACCCTCTAACTAAAGAAATAAAAGAATTGAAACAAAGAATAACTGAGCATCTAGAACAGCACAAAAACAACAGAATAAGGCTACCTGCATTGAAGCTTGTTCCAAAGAAACAGCTAGCACAAGCATTAAAAGATGCAAATACTGCAATATCAAGTATAAGCACCAATTCACTGCAAGAAACAAACCAACTAATGTACAGCACAGCTGCAGTTATAACAGAATACCTGGGATGCAAAATCAACAAAAAAGAAAAACAAACAAACAGTGCACCAGAAAAATGGAAGGTTAGACTAGAAAATAAGATCAGCAAGTTAAGATCACATGCAAGCAAGCTAGAACAGATGAAAGAAAAGAAGCTGAAGAACAAGAAGACCAAAGAATACCTAATCAAGAAATACCACTTAGAAACAAGGAAGATCAAGGAAGCACTGGAAATAATAAAGCAACAAATAACAGCTATAGCCAGGAAAATCAGTAGATATGAAGCTCGAATTGCAAACTATAGGCAGAACCTCCAATTTCAATCCAATCAGAAACGTTTCTACCAATCCATCAATGGAGAAACTGCAAGGAATCAGTCAGTACCTGACAAGGAAGAAACAGTGCAGTTCTGGAAGCAGATATGGGATAACCCAAAGAAATACAACAAGGATGCGGCTTGGTTAAAAGAGGTGGATGCAAATAAAACAGAAGTTGAAATGAAAGAACTAGTAATAACAACAAAAATGGTAGAAAAAAGAGCAAAGAAAATCAAAAATTGGTCAGCACCAGGTGAAGATGAACTGCATGGGTTTTGGTTGAAACATCTAACTGTTATACACCCACTCATTGCCAAACAGTTCAACAATATACTACAAGGAGGAGAAATTGAAAAGTGGCTAACAACTGGGAAAACCTACCTAATAATGAAAAATCCAGCAAAAGGGGCAACACCAGGTAACTACAGGCCAATTACCTGCTTACCAACAACTTTCAAATTACTAACTGGTGTAGTAGCTGATGCAGTGCAACAGCATCTAGTTGAAAACAATCTCTTTCCACCTGAGCAGAAAGGAAACCGCCCCAATAGCAGAGGAACAAAAGATCAACTCCTAATAGACAAAATGATCTTGGAAAACTGCAAGAGAAGGAAGACCAACCTGAATGTGGCATGGATTGACTACAAAAAGGCATTTGACTCTCTGCCACATGATTGGATAATAAAGTGCCTAGAAATAACAGGAGTCAGTAGAAACATCAGAAAATTTGTGCAAAGATCGATGGCACAATGGAAGACACAGTTGCAGATCAATGGTGAGAGGCTGGGAGAGGTTAATATCAAGAGAGGAATATTTCAAGGAGATTCATTATCACCATTACTATTTGTTATTGCACTGTTTCCTCTGTCAACAATACTGAATAACTCAGGACATGGCTATCAAACATCAAAAACATCTGCCAGACTATCCCACCTCCTTTATATGGATGATCTGAAGCTGTATGGAAAAACATCATCTGAAATAGAATCGCTGCTCAACACTGTCCGTATATATAGCCAAGATATTGTAATGGAGTTTGGCTTGGACAAATGTGCCACACTTACTATCAAACAAGGAAAAATAATGAAAACTGAAGGAATCAAGATGCCCCACGAAAATAACATTAAGAGTCTGGATGAGGAAGAGTACTACAAATACTTGGGTATCCTTCAAGCTGACAACATCAAGCACACTGAAGTCAAGAAAAAGATTAGAGGTGAATACATCAAGAGAGTGAAGAAGATCTTAAAGTCCAAACTCAATGGAGGAAATACCATAAAGGCAATCAACACCTGGGCAATCCCAGCCATTAGGTACACAGCTGGAATAGTGGACTGGACTCAAGCAGAACTAAAAGCAATGGATAGGCAGACCAGAAAAATAATGACAATGAGTCATGCCCTTCATCCACGCAGTGACATTGATAGACTTATCTACCAAGGCAAATAGGTGGGCGTGGAATGCTACAAGTACATCAGATGGTTGAAGAAGAAAAAATGGCTTTGGAAGAATATCTGAAGAACAATGATGAAGATGCACTGAAATTAGTATATCAGGAAGGCTTACTAACTACTGGAGAGACCAAACTGGCCTACAAGAAAGACCAAATGAAGAACAGAATAGAGGCATGGGAAGACAAAGCACTACATGGCCAATACATGAAAAAAATAGCTGGGAAAGCAGATAATAATAAAACCTGGCAATGGCTAAGAGCAGGAAAATTGAAGAAAGAGACCGAGGGACTAATTCTGGCTGCACAAGACCAAGCCTTAAGGACAAATGCATACAAAGTCAAAATTGAGAAGACAGCAACAGACAGTAAGTGCCGCCTATGCAAAGAAGCTGAAGAAACAGTGGACCACTTGGTAAGCTGTTGCAAGAAGATTGCACAGACTGATTACAAGCAGCGGCATGACAAAGTAGCAACAATGGTGCATTGGAAGATCTGCAAAAAATATCATTTGCCTGTAAGCAAAAACTGGTGGGATCATAAAATAGAGAAAGTCATAGAAAATGATAAAATTAAACTGCTCTGGGACTTCAGAATTCAAACAGACAAGCACCTGCAACATAACACCCCAGACTTAACAATTGTCGATAAGAAAGACAAAAAAGTCTGGATAGTGGACGTGGCAGTGCCTGGAGATAGCAGAATAGAAGAGAAAGAACTGGAGAAGATAACAAAATACAAAGACCTACAAATAGAAATAGAAAGACTGTGGCAAAAGCAAGCAAGGGTAGTACCAATAGTCATAGGCTCCTTGGGTGCAATCCCAAAACAACTGGAGCACCACTTGAACACCATTGGCATTGACAAATTCGCTATTAGTCAATTGCAAAAGGCGGCCTTATTAGGAACTGCTTCCATCCTGCGACGATACCTGTAATACCATCAAACATCCACATCTGCCTATCCCAGGTCCTGGGTAAGGACTCGATAGGTAGACAAAATGCCAAATCCAGTCTGAACATCTGGCTGACTGTGCGATGATTGATAATAATAATAATAATGTTAGAAGGAATCTTGGAGGTCATCTATTCCAATCCCCTGCTCAAGCAGGAAATTGTATACCAGTTCAGACAAATGGCTGTCTAATCTCTTCTTAAAAACTTTCAGTGTTGGAGCATTCACAGCTTCTGGAGGCAGTTTGTTCCACTGATTAATTGTTCTAGCTGTCAGGAAATTTCTCCTTAGTTCTAGGTTGCTTATCTCTCATCGGGGGGAGTGCTTTGGGTAGTTTTTCGGAAAGAGGTCTTAATATTATAAAGAGAGGATCAGATCTCACCAATTTCATCCACATTGCTGTAATGTTGCTTCTTGGTGCTTATTGTCTTCCATTGTCAGCGGCTTAGGACTGGCTACGCGAATGTAGCCAGTCATTTCCCCGCCGGTTTGGAGGGCTTCCTCAGATCAAATGGGAGGTCTGCCACACACACACGTGATCAACGAGAGTCCCCTCCTTGATTGTCGCCTCTATGGGGTGACTTCCGACCCTTTCCAGAGTCTCCCAGTGGGGCAAAATCAAACACAAAAGACAGAGCCCCATTTTCTGCGTCCATTCCACTGCGATGTCAAAACCAGAAGCCCGGGACCATCTTTTCCAGTGCCTCTCCAGCAAGTCCTCATGGGCAATAGATTAGCTTTTGTCCACACACCCTTCACCACCAGCGACCTGCTTAATTGGAAGGAAGATCTGCCGCCCTATCAGGAGGTGCCCCAAAAGTACATCGACCTGGTCCAATGTATTGTCACCACCCATCGATCCACTGTTCCAGATCTTTTTACTCTCCTCTCTGCTCTCCTTGGAGGGGAAGACCGCCGCCAAGTACTGAAGGCCACCAACACCTGCTACAAGGCTGTGTGAACCCAAGGTATGCAGGAAGGGGATTCAGCAGCCGAATGGCCTGACCCCAACATCACCCTCATTCCTACCTATGAGGCCAACTGAATACTGACCATGGAATGAGGTGCCTGCACATTCCAGGATACCTTTGTCCATGGTCTCTGAACCAGTGTCCCTAAGACTGTCAATTTTCACTGGGTCTACCAAATCATTCAGGAATCTTGAGACTTTCTGAACCATCTCAAGGACGGTTCAAAAGATTCACTGATTTGGACCCTGAGGCCTCAGCCAATGAAGTAATGTTAAAAATGACTTTTGTTGGATCAAATGCCCATGATATTAGGAGAAAATTCCAAAAGTTTTCAGCTCCAACCACACAGAACTTCAAAACCCTCATCCAAACAGCCTCTACCATTTTTGCCCAGAGAGATGAAGAAGAAGAAAAGAAAGAAGACAGGAAAATGAGGAAACAAGTGGCCCTCCTAGCAGTAGCCCTTCAACCACAATTAAAAGGGGGGAGCCAAGCTGAACCACCTAGATATCCCAGAATCCAATACAACCAGTGTACTTCCTGCAAAAAGTTTGGCCACTGGAAAAATGAATGCCCCCTTTTAGAACAAGGGAAGTTGTAACAGAATCAAAGTTTCCAAGGGAGAGCCAATTCTGGCTCAAAACAGGGAGAAAGACAGTGGCACCACCAGCAGGTCCATCCACTCATGTCTGTGACTTCTCCCGAGTTTTACTCTGAAACCTACTAGAGGGGCTCCACAGGGATTACCTTCTCTCCCGACCCTCTGGTGGAATTAACAATTGGGGGAAAACCTTACATCTTCTTAGTTGATACAAGTGCAACATACAGTGTTCTCACAGACCCTTCTATCCCATGTCTTTTGTACCAAGTGACATCTACAGTTGGGGTCATGGAGAGGGAAGAGGCTGCTCCCCAAACTCTGCACCTCGAGGTTCAGCCTCATAAAGGTCCTTCCCTCCAACATTCTTTCCTTTCCTACCGCAGTGCCCCTTGAGTCTTTTGGGAAGAGACTTACTTGGGAAGTTGGGAGCTACTCTCAAGTGCTTTCCCAAGGGGGTCAGCTTAAACATTCCTTCAAACCAAGCCTATGTCTGTTTCCTACAGGGCTCCCTAACTGAAGGACCCCCTGATTACCTGAATATCAACCCAAAGGTTTGATATCAGGGGACCCTGGACCTGGTGCTCTTTGCCATCCTGTATCTTACTAAATTGTTGCCCAATGCCGAACCGATTTCCATCTGTCAATACCTGATTAAGTGGGAAGTAGGAATAGGAATCAACCTCCAGATCCAGTTGGAGCCATTATTGCTGTCAGAGGGAGTCCTATCAGAGACACTTGGCTTTTGGAGACAACCCAACCAAAAAAGAGTTCAGTAAAGGCCGCTGAAGCTGAATTCCCACTAACTGCTTCTCATGAATCACACTCTCCGGATTGAAGAGGCACCAAGTGACTAGCACCTTGGGATGAGTCAGGTGAGTGGAAATATCTGGCTGCAATCTGGAGGCAGTCCATTGAGTGATTAAGGAAGACATTGGAAGGTCTGGAGGTGGGAGGAAAGGAGCAAGCCACCCGGCAGTTACTTTCCAGTGAGCAGGATGACCAATGCTTCCAAGACCGTCCCCAGTTCAGGCAAAGTCCCAGTCCCATAGCTGGGGCCTGAGCTGCATCCCCATGACCAAAGTCAGCAGTTTTAACTTCAAGTCCAGTGCGGAGGCGAAGCCTGCACTGGTGTCAGCATCACAATAGCCCCAATCACCGTTGGCCTGTCAGCTCTGATTGTGTCAACACGATGCCAGTCCTGACCATCGGCAATGGTATGTTAGCCCCAATCAGTACCACTGCTATGCAAGCCCTGACCGGTACCCACATCAGATCAGCCCTGAATGTTATGGGCATAGAGCAAGCCCCGATCGCCACTGATACCCATAGCCCTGATCGATATCCACATCGAGCCAGTCTGGATCGATATCAGCACCATGCTAGTCCAGACTGTTATCATTACAGACTTAGCCCCAATCAACACCCCCAGTGACTTAGCCCCAAAATCGCTGGCACTAACCAATCCAGGGCCCCTTCCAAGAGCTGATCAAGCAGCGGGACTCTCACGAGATCAATTGCAACAGTATGGGTTACTGCAGGCTCTCTTAGATCTACAGCAGCCCACAGAAGCACCTCCTTTCAAACCTACATTTGATGGTGACCCCTTTCTTCTTGAATCAAGTGTTTTTGCACATGAAGAGGAATGCCTATCCAGACCCTGCCACTATGGTCGATGTGGTAGTGACAAACTTCGAAGGGGAGGCAGCAGAGTGGTTGAATGGTTTGTACAATGTACAATCACCTGAGCTATGGGACTACAACTTGTTTATCCAGGGCCTAAGGACCAGGTTCAAGGATAGATCCATAGCCCTGCAAGCTAAAAAAGATATTCATGAGGTGAAACAGAGGGGTCGGCCAGTGAAGGAATACATGCATGAATTTTGAAAGTGGCTGGCAGAATTGTGCAGTGGCCTGAGCAGTCACTAGTTTATCATTTCAAGTTCGGATTGGACCCAGATCTATTCCAAGCATGTTCGCAATGCCTAATCAACCTCCCTACCATTCTCAAATTAGGCATCAGAGCAAAAAAGCTTTCCTCCCCCATGAGATTCAAACAGGTAGATGGGTCTTTACTGAGTCTTCACTCACCTAACTAAGCCAGTTCACCTAGAGGTGGGAGAGCATTGGGAATTTATCTAGTTTGTGGTAATCCCAAAAATGACTAAGGCAGTAATATTGGGATTAGCCTGGTTGACAAGTGGACAAGTTGAAGAATGGAATGAGAACCTTGAGGTTAACCATAGGGCCGTCACCTCCCAACCCCTCTAATGACACCAGCAGGATAGCAGAACTGCCATCCAAGACACTAAAAGCAGTGACAAATCCCCTGTCATTCCCAGCAAATACCGAGATTTGGCTGAAGTGCACCAAGATGGAATATGACATCCTACCCCCCACATAGAACCACTGAATGTGCCATTGAGATTCTACCAGGAGCTAAATTGTCAAAGCCGAAGATGTATGCAATGACCCCCCCCCCCTTAAAGTGGAAGAATTGAGGGAGTACTTTGATAAAAATTTAGAAAGAGGTTTTATTGAACCCGCAAAATCCAAAGTGGCTGCCCCCATACTTTTTAAGGAAAAAAAGATGGATCACTTAGACTCTGCATTGATTGTAAAGGATTAAATGCTGCTAGTGAGAAGAAGATGTGCCCCTTCCCCTTAATGAATGACATGTTAGCCCACCTGGCAAAAGGTTGAAGTTTTACCAAATTAGTCCTAAGAGAGGCATATTATCACATGAGAATAAGAAAAGGTGATGAATGGAAAACTGCCTTCAACAGCCCCCTCGGTAGTTATCAGTTCAAAGTTATGCCTTTTGGATTACAAGGAGCTCCTGCTGTGTTCATGCAGCTAATCAACCAGGTGCTGCACGATCATTTGTATAAAGGGGTTTTGGTTTACCTTGATGACATCTTAATCTATACAGAGAATATGACAGAACATACAATTTTAGTAAAAGAAGTACTAAAAAAACCTGCTGAGTGCTAAACTCTTTGCCAAACTCTCAAAGTGCAAGTTCCATCGGGCAAGTTTGGATTATCTGGATTACAGAATTTCCAGCGAAGGCATTGAAATGGATCCAGGTAAAGTAAAAGGGGTGATTGAATGGCAGCCCCCACGAACTCAGAAACAGCTCCAAAGTTTTTTGGGATTTGCTAATTTCTACCACCAATGTATCCCTTCATTTGCTGGGATTGCTTTGCCCCTTACAGAACTATAAAAAACTGGCAAGGATGGGGGTAAACCATGACCAGGTCAACCCCTACACTGGTTGTTAGAGTGCCAAGCCACTTTTGAGAATTTAAAAAGACTGGTTGCTGCAAAACCAATTCTCAAACACCCTCATCCTGAGGAGCAATTTGTTATTCAAGCTGATGCCAGTGATGTGGCTGTGGGGGCAGTGCTGCTACAAAAAAAAAACATGAAGGAAATTTACAACCCTGTGCTTACACTTCGAAAAAACTCACTGACACAGAACGGAGGTGGGCAGTTTGGGAGAAGGAACTTTTTGCAATCAGATGGGTTTTATTGACTAGGCATCATTTCCTAGAGAGCTGCAAGGTGCCTTTTGAAGTATGGACTGATCAAAAAAAGTTGGAGAATGGAGGCACTGAAAGTTCACCATAGTCTCCCAAACAAGTATGCTGGGTGCAATATTTTAATCATTTTAACTTTACCCTGAAATATATACCGGGAGGAAGAAATTTCTTAGCTGATGCCCTCTCTAGACTGTCTCAATATAAAAGCCAATATGAACAAGTCATAGATTCTATTATGCCACCACCTGAGGTTATTTCTCAAATAACCCCTGGGAAACAACGACACGTGAAATCCCCTAACCCAGTTGACCCATTGACAAAGAAATTAAAGCAAGAACTGAAAAATGACAAATGGCTCAAGGAAAATCAAATGATCCTAACCCATAGGGATGGGTTAGCTTGGAAAGGAGGGGAATTATATTTGCCTGAATCACTCAGACTCCAAGCACTCCAACGCAGTCACAACATTAAACAAGCTGGTCACTTTGGATATTTAAAGACCCTGCACTTAGTTCAGAGACAACTTTGGTGGCCAGGCTTAAAGAAAGATATGGAAAGCTATGTAAAAAGCTGTGCAGTCTGTGCTACCGTGAAGAGGATCCCTATGGACTGTTATAGCCTGTCACAGCTCCTTCTCAGCCATGGGAGGAGATCGCTATGGACTTTATTGCATTCATTTCACATGCAAATAAAGTTAAAATGCTTTAAATCCTACAAGCTAGACTCCAGCAGTATGTGGATTGAGAACTTCCAGAAGTACAGTCAGGATTTCAAAGAGACAGAGGAACTAGAGATCAAATTGCCGACATATGCTGGATCATGGAGAAAGCTAGGGAATTCCAGAAAAACATTTACTTCTGCTTCATTGACTATGCTAAAGCCTTTGGTTGTGTGGATCACAACAAATTGTGGCAAGTTCTTAAAAAGATGGGAGTAACAGACCATCTTATTTGTCTCTTGAGAAACCTATATACGGGTCAAGAAGCAACAGTGAGAACTGGACACGGAACCACTGATGGTTCAAAATTGGGAAAGGAGTCCGGCAAGACTATATTCTGTCACCCTG